GGTAAAGGGAGGATAAATGGTGATGGAAGGAAACTAGACCCTGTGGGGTGAACACACGATATTCAGATGATGTATTACAGAATTGTACACTTGAAACCTATTAACTAATATAACCCCAATAAGTTCAATAAAAAAATACATATAAGAAAAGAGGACACACCAGATGTAAAAATCTTGGAAGACAGCCTTGCTGCTTACATTTAGGCAAATGGGACCCTGCCCCCACCCCCCCACCACCATCACTACCAAGAGCCTGGTCCAAGGTTTTAGCCACAGCAGCATTGCTGCTTACATTTAGGCAAATGGGACCCTGCCCCCCCCCCGCCCCCCCACCAAGAGCCTGGTCCAAGGTTTTAGCCACAGCAGTAAGGCTGGCAGAACCTCCAGCACAACGACCCTTGTACGACCAGCATCTCATGCAAAGGAGGCCTGAGCCAGGGGTGTTGGTACCGGGGCAGGGGCTCTTCACTGTGCAGGCTGCTTTCCCAGACAGAGTCATCCTCAGGGACACATACGCCACCCACTCCTATTTCAAAGCAAAACCAACTCACCTCTTCTTCCTTCTGAAAAGCCAGATGGTTACTGCCAGGACGATGCAGAAGCCAAGAATGCAAGCCAGGACCACCGAAAGGATGATTCCTGGGGAAGAGGCAGCGAACACACGTTACATTCCTCCCTTCCCCTTCCTCTCTCCCCACAGCACACGGGTGTGATCTCAAATGACAGGTACATAATCATCCACCGGAAGGTGCAATTTCCCCATCTCTGTTCCCAGGTTCTGGTCTTAGCAGGACTGGCTGGAATACTTAGAGGGGGCCACTTGCAAACTGTGGTCATTCTCCAGCAGGGGTTCTCAAATTTGCACCAGGATCATCTGAAGAGCTTGTTTAAAATGTAGACTTTTTTGAGTCCAGCCCTCAGAGACTCTGATTCCATCTGGGGTGGAGCCCAGGAATCTGCATTTGTATTAAAGCTCCTCGAGCTGATGCTGATGTACGTGGTCCATGTACCACCCTTTGAGAAACCCTGGGTTACAGAATAAGAACTTGCTCCACCTTTGCTTGTTGGGTATAAGGCCCACTGGGATGCCTCTGTATCAGGGTTGCCCCCCCCCCAAGTTCCATTGCACAGTCCTAAACCAGGGGCCCATCCCCAAGGTCACCTCGCCAGTCCCCCGACCTCCACAGTGGGCCCAGGCATGTTTTCAGGCAATGGCTTTCCACCATGGCCAACAAAGATCAGAGACAGGCTCTTTGGATGCACACATGCTGTACAGAGTGATTCGGTCTTTCATTAGGGGAGCATTTGATTGGCGGATCATCTTTGAATCAGAGAGAGACCTGAGGGTCAGACCCACAGTGTGAAGGGCCGGAGCCAGAGAGCAGCACAGAGAAGCACAGAGGAGGGGCAGGAAGTGCCGCAGGCCCAGATCACACTGAGAGTCACAGCGATCACCCGCGGCAGCATGCACGGCCGGCAGCCACATACCCAGGCTCAGTCCTGCGTAGGTGAGGTCTCGCTCTTCGAAAGGGAAGGAAAAGATGGGAAGTTAACCGAGTCAAGCCGTGGCGGGCATGACCAGTGTTTCGAAGCTCTACCTTTCGTTGGGTTGGAGGTATTAGGCAGACGGGGTGGAGGGAATTGCCCACCGAGGGGATTCTCACACAGTGACCCCTCCTTCTGATGTTCTTTGATCACAGCAGTTTCTTGGCTTGGGCCGGACTTCAGCTTTTCATACAAAATGGCCCAGGTGGCAGGTGAGGAAGGCTAAGCGTCAGCGTCTACTTGGCAGGCTGTCGCCTGCCTCTCTGGTACCCGTCCCTCTTCCTCAGCAAGGAGCCGGCCGTGTCAGGCTGGCGGGGCTGGCAGAGCGTGGTTGGAACCTGTCCCCACACTTCTGCTCCGTCCCCAGCCAGTCTTGTGGTCCTGGTCTGGTTCTATTATTACTCTGGCCCCACTGGATAAACGAGAAACTCCTCCATACCAGCCTCCCTTCTGTGCCAGGTGGGACCAGGGGAGTGTGGCTTCTCTCAGCAGCTATTGTTGCAGATAAATGGGGCGAGTTGGGCATCCTCAGAGGGGCTGAAACGGTGCCCAGTGTCTAAGGTGAAATCCCGTAGTCAGCCTATGGGGGACCTCCCCGGGGGAGGGGCATGGTGACTCCATCTGCTTCCGTAGGACAGGGAGCCCCGTCCTGAAGCCGCTGGGTGCCCCAGCCTGCTCCGTCCAGTTCTTAGAACCACTCATCCTCCTCCCAGCAGGGCCTCCATCCAAACCCAGCCTCTGCCTACACACCCCTCTGGTCTGGTGGCTTCTCTGATTCAGGAGGAACTTGCGGCCTGTGCGTGTGGATGTTTGTTCCAGTTCACAGTGGAGGCAGGAGTTGTGCAGGAGGTGGCTACCCAGCCTGACACTAAGGCACCGAGACCCTGGGCGAGCCCTGGCCAGGTGTGAAGTGCCAGCAGAGGGCCAGGCCCTTACCCTGGGGTCACTGGACACCCTAGGGAACCAGACCGGAGACAGCCGGTGAGGTTCTGCTCACGCCTTCTGCCAGGTGACCAGCGCCGGGCTGATTCCCTCGGGGCCACCAGCCAGTGTCCTTTCCTGCTATTCTGCAATCTCATAGTGAGTCTGCAGCCTCCTGGGCCAAGGCCCGCCCTGGAGTCTCTGGTCTGGCTTCCCAGGTGGTCCCGGGAGTTGTAAGGATGAATGGCAGGTGTGGGGAGGAGCTGTCCTCAAGCACAGGGTGACCTGCTCTCTGGGCTCTTCTCAGCCACCCCCGGTAGCCCATGGCCTCCCAAGTGGCTCCCCGGCCTGAACACAGGGCCCATGTGTGGCCTGGGAGGCACTCACACACGACTTTCCCCTGGGAGAGTGTCGTGTTTGTGCAGCTCATGCTTGTTCCCGCTCGGCTGCGGCCTCTGCTCTCGGGAATTTGGTATTGGGTGTGTTTTTCCTTTTAAGGTACCTGGAGGCAACCAAGGCCTCTAGGATCTTAAAAACAACCACCACCCAGAAAACCCCCAACTAGTCACGGTTGTCTTTCTAGGCCTTTCAATGAAATACACCTTTGTTCTTTGTTCCTAAGACTCCAGATGCCTGTGGTACCAAACTAGTTCTCACCACATGAGACTATAACCAGGAAGCCCAACCACTTGGCTAAGCCGTCCAAACCGGACAGTTTCTATCGTCGTCACCTTCACAGTCACCTCACATGTCCTGGGAGCCACTGGCCCCGACAGCCGACAGGGCTCGGGGCTGGAGGAGCTGCCCCGCACCGTGGCCTTCGGGAGCAGGGCAGCCTGCAGAGGCTGGGCCTCTGGGAATGGGCTCCTCTCAAGAGCCCCGCTTGGTGGCTTGTCTGGAGGGAGAGTCCGCTTTCCTGGTTCCCTGAGCGGTGCCCGTGCAGCACTAGGCCCGATGCACAACGGCCCGATTTTCTCCGGGGCTTGGCCGGGCTCCTTGCTCCAGGGCGACTACTTGTCAGGGCCCGGGTTGCGCCTCCTTGGAAACAGCGAGAGGAGAGCTAGCACCACGACGAGGGGCGCCCCAAGACCGGGACAGAAGCTCTCAGCCGTGACTTAGATGCAGCTTCAACAACGCAGCTTGACTGAGCAAGCAAAGAGCGCCAGCCACTACGCAACAGGGATGGGAGCCAGGCGCCACCTCCTCAGACTTGCGCCCTGCAGAAGCCCAGGGCAGGAAGGTGTTGGGATGCTATGCCTGCCTCCTGCCCCACCCACCATCACAGAAGCAGGGCTTCTCTGCAGAGCGGGGTGAAGCCACAGTGCTGAGGTCCTATGGGAGGCAGACACCAAAGCATCTACGAACTAAAGGGAGAGGGGAAGCCAGGGAGACTCCGGGGTGCAGGGAGAGCTGTTGGGGCGACCGGAGAACCAGGCCCAGAGAGAGAAACCAAAGCCTGCATCACAGCAGCCTCTGGGATGCTGCAGAGAACAGGCGTCAAAGATGATGCCGGAGAGAAATTCATCTGCAGATTAAACACAGACATGGTTTGTTTCTGACGGTGAACAAGACAAGCAGTTCCCATTGAAGATCAGTGGGACAGAGAGGAGAAACGGAGGCGGGCTGGTGGACAGAGACGGACACGAGAGCCCCTGGATGAAAACACAGAGGAGCTCCTGAGCTGCGTAACAGGGGGCACGCCGGGCAGACATGGGGGAGCCGTCCGCGCTCCATCAAGTGCTCCGGCGCATGTCAGGGCGAGCAGAGACAGGGCAATACGACACTCAGAAGGAAACCACACGGACACAGCACGGGACTGTCACATGCCTCGCCCAGGAAGGTACAGCTTAGAGAGATGGGCAGGCTGCCTGCCACGGGGGCACTGCTACCTGGTCTGGCTGGCTCAGGAGCTGCGTCTTCCACTGGCATCTCGCTGGACCGAGGGATGCGGCTTAACTGCTTTTGAGGTCTTCTGAGGCCTCAAGTGCAAACAGAAAAGTCCAGCCGAGCAACAAGCGCCTCACTGACACAGCTCGCGGTTCCTGGAACAAGCCTAGCATTTTCCAGGCTATTTGCAATTCTGTTTACTCAAACAGAATTTTGAGTAAAAAGGGATACAGTCCTTTTCAAAGTGTTATTTTAAAGTGTGGATGGTTTGGGTAGGGGCCATGTTACCTAGTGAAAATGGAAAGAGGCAGGGAGAGTGGGGGTAATCCCATTCCGAATGGCAAAACTCTGTCATAGACTCAGGTCAGCGACATGCTAGCCCTCATCTGGATGATGCTTTGGTAAGAAGAGCAAGGAAGAAGCCCTCAGTCATCGCAGAACATCACCGTCTTTGGAGGACCTAACCGGGGACTTTTCCTTATTAACACTACAAAGAAATAATTCAGTAAGAAGATACTTCGGGATTACATGAGAGAACTGGTTTTCTACGACCATGGTAGGGACTGAGGGCCCTACCCTTCCAGGTTGCAGGAATGCATGCCCAGGAGAGGGAGCCGCCCCCTCTAGGGCCTAGGCGCGGGCCAGTAGGCACAGGTTACAGTGCTGGCCCGGGGTGCTTGGTACCCTCCCTGCTGAAGGAATGATGGGTGGTGAGGCCAGGGCAACGGAAAGCCTGGTAGCATCTCTAGGCAACTCCCTCCCAGGCCTTCAAAGCTTGGCAGCTAAGTGCCCATCTTTAGTTTTTCTTAAACAAATGAATTGATTTTGATGCTGTTGGCAAATTGATAACAAAGCAAAATAAAGATAAAACTAAAATGTAACAGTCTGCCAGGCTTATGTTCAAATCATTCTGCAGAGAAGACACTGGCGAGGGGAGGGAAGGGAGACGGATTGGTTACATTCTTTCAAACTCATCCTGAGCACCAGGCACAGTGCCAGGCACAAAAAGCGAGAAAGACACCAATGGTCCCTGTCCTTACGGCGCCTGAAGTGTGCGGACAAGTTAGACACTTTTCTGTTTCCGTGTGGCGGCGCACTCAGAGTCAGAGACGGCACGTGACCCCAGCTTCTCTGAAGGAGACTGAGTCTCCGTCAGGGGGATGGGGGAGACTTCTGGGAGGATATGATTGGAATTAGGCTTTGAAAGAATTTTCCAGGTGGAAGAGGCGAGGGGCCTCCCAAAGGGAATCGTGTGGGCAACGTAAATGGGTGCACACACAGAGACAGCTGCCATGTTAGAAGGGGGCTGGCACAGTGTGGATGGGTGCCGGGGAGACGGTGCTGGACAGGGGAGCCGGGCCACCTCGCCAAGGCAGCTCCAGCTCCCGGCCTGACCCCTTGGCCCACGTCGTTTCTGAGCACGGTCTGCTCCAGGCCAGGGGCTTGTTGTTAGGGCCAAGGTACCACCCACGGTGGGCTCTCCCAGGAAAGTTGCTCCCTGGGCGTTCCCCTCAGAGCCGGGCCTGGGCTGTGCGCAGAAAGCACGCGGTGTGGCGAACTGCCTTAGATGAAGGGACTGGGACTCACTGCTCAGCACGTTGATGATTTTGCTCCTGACCCGCCAGCCCCCGTCTCCAGGGGCAGCTGGAAGGCAGGAGCCCCTCTGGTCTCTCATTGGGATACTTTGGAAGAACTGATCCTTTCCCATCTCATAGAGTTTATTTATAAATAGGAACTTGGAGAAACACAAGGTCAAGAACCACACAGCATACATTCTGGTCTCGAAAAATTAGATAATTAGCCATCTTAGCTTTGCAAGCTTTTGTTCTACCTCTTTTTTAAAGGTTTTCTAAAACTACCCGGTTTCCTTAGGGTCAAGCAGAATCTGATCGTGCTACTCCACAGATTTGCTGTGGGTGAGCCCGCCCCCCTCCCCCCAC